CCAAAAGTATGAAAGCCATTCCTCCTAAAATGGCCAAAAGAAACACGGTGTGATACGTGGTAATGTCCTGTGTTACAACGGGACCTAGAAGGTCAGAAAATGGCATTTTAGATATTTTGATACCTTTAAATAAAAAGAGGGATAATTAGTTGAGAACATAATGTCTTTTTTCTTACTCTTCCTGGCAGGGGCACAGAGCAAAGGCCAGACAAAAATACCTTTGATTGATGGGTTTGTGGCACCATCACCATTTCATTCCATAATTAACATTATTATGGAAGCTTCCAGGGCCAGCAGCACTTTCAAAACTCAAATAGGAATGTGGCTGTGTCAAGAGACTCTTCTTATCTGAGAAGTGAGCCTCACCTGGCAGCATGTTCAGCATTCTAAATACATGCTCTTTTTTTTTTAATATTTTTTAGTTGTCCATGGACCTTTATTTTATTTATTTATATTCAGGACCAAGAATTGAAGCCAGTGCCTCACACATGGTAGGCAAGCACCCTACCACTGAGCCATGACCCCAGACCCATGATCTTTTAATAAAAGCAAATGGATGCAAGAGAACATAATAAGGGGTTTCTCACCTTTAAGAGATGATCTGAGTATCTGGAGATTTTATATGACAGGAAAAATAAAACAAAAGATCTTATTCTCGATATGTTTGGGCAGCCAATTATTACTATATAGAGTGCCCTTTCTCTAAATGCATGACATAAATTTACACTGTCTAAATATATGACATAAATTTACTATGACTTTAAAAAGTCAATAACTTGTTACAGGCTGTTAAGTGTAATGAAAATTCTTTCCATGTAAAACAATAAAACATTCTTCTACATTTTTTAAAAGACTAATTGCACACGGCCACAGACCTCTTTTCTTTTTTTTTTAGTGGTACTGGGGACTGAACCCCAGGGCCTTGCTCCTGCCAGGCAAGCATTTTACCACTGAGCTACATTCCCAGATCTCTTAATTGTATTTTGCAACAGGGTCTCATTAAGTTGCCTGGAATGGTGTTGAACTTGTGATCAGCCTGCTTCAGCCTCACAACTAGCTAGAATTACAAGTGTATTGCATCAAGCCCGGATAGCCACAGACCTCTTTAGAATTTACAGATAAGGTTACTAGAGATAAAAATATTTCATTTAAAAATATATATTGTAAAGAATCCCAAAAAATAGGAGTTTAATTCATATCTTTTAAGTCTAAAAATAGTGAAAATTTGTCTTAATATTACGGACACAATGGATCAACAACAAAAACCTCTGCAAATTACAATATCTGGGCTTTGAGCATTTATTGGTGGCCAATATCCTGGCAGTGGGCCAATGCAGAGAAAGGAAAAAAAACTGTGGTTTCACATTATTCCAGGGTAGCCTGATTATGATTACTAAATCCCACAAATACCCATTTGCTTAAAAATATTTTTGATAAGTCAAGAGACAGATTTCTTCAAAAATCATTTTAAGGAGCCAAATCTCTTAAGAGTTAGATCAACAGAAAGAGGTTTATCAATTTTTGAAAATATTGGCATTTCTGAGTCCAAAAGAGAACACCATTCTCTTCCAAATATAATTCACTTCAATGGTGTGGGATGTTAGGGATGAATGTTTAGCAAGCTGGAAAAAGAACTCCACACTGCTTCACTTCACTTGTTCCATATACAACTTCTTATACAAAGGCAACCTCCCCAGACGGGGAGCCTTGTGAGAAGCCACCAAGAAAACTTGGCTACCTGGGTTTGATCCCCAGCACCACAAAAATGAGACAAACAAAACATGCATTAGGCACACATAAAAATCATTTCCAGAAAACTGAAACTTGGTCTGTTCAGTACTCAGAAGGTAATTATTTCAAACTCTGCCACTGGAAATCTGCAGAAAATTCATAGCTGTGCTTTGCTTCCTTCTTAAGCAGAGAATTAAAGAATGAAACCCCCATTATTTTCTTCTTGGTTTTGGACTTGTAAAAACACAGCATTACTGTCATTTGCTTTAATAAATTGATGGCTGTGAGTTTACCCATGCCTGTATCCACACATTAAATACCATCAGGCTGGGCTATGGATGCTCTCAGAGCTCTTGAGTCTCTTACTTCATGGCTGTGTTCGTCAGTCTCCTTTCCTTTTTACAAAAGCATATATTCATCTGTGGCATAATAGAAAACTGATAGCCACAGTTGTTTTGAAATCTGTCTAAAACAAAAGTTCACTTTAATGCATGGGCTTTGTGGCTTCTGCTTTGGTACCTAAGGAATTTCTTTTCTTTCTTTCTTCCTAGTCACATTCTTAATATTTCAAATTAGGAAAACGGGGCATTTCTGTACCTGGTTCATGCTTACAATACTATAAGAACCACACCATCAAGAAAAACACATATCTGAAGTGTAAATTTTCTTGCTATGGGAACATAAAATCAATGTAACAAACTTTTCAACACCCATCTACAAATGGTCTCCAACACGTTAGTTACTTTGGGAGTTTACGTGTTAATTCCAGTGATAATTCCCTTACTAAAATACTTTGAACTTCCATTTGGAAATGCCTTCATGGTTAATTTGCAAGAGAGACTTTTTAATCACAGCACATTTTGACCTAGCTCAATCTCCTATTTTGTTCACCAGACTTGGGCATGCATGACTTTTAGATGTGTTTAAAAAAATAGCAATCAAAGGTGCCTATAAGTATAAGATTGGCCACTACAGAACAGTTTCATGAAGGTAGGCAATTCAAGTGTTATGGATTCTAAAGAAAAATGTAGCAATGGAAGACATCACTAGAAATGATTCTTGTGAGATGCCCATTTTGCAAAACAATTTTGAATATATATTTGAGAATGTAGGTTAAAAATCACATTTTTGAATCACACTTTTAAAAATAGGAGTGAATTCACATACTCAAAGTGGAGATTATTCTTTTGGGCACAGAGCAATTGATTTGCATATAAGCAGTTTGGAAATGTCAAATCAAATATTTTGCCCTAAGAAGCCCACTATGGTGACTTTCTGCTAGTCCTTCTGTTGAGTGTTCTTCCTATGAGCTTGCTCACACCAGGCCCCAGCTGTTTTGGGAATTAGGGAGGAGGTCTGAGCCTCCTCTGTGGGTTTCTGATTAAGAATGCCCCATGGCAGCTGTCTGAGCAAAACAGAGACAGGAGGCAAGACTATTTTCCATGCATTATTCTTATCTTAAATGGAAAAGTTCCAACCAGAACTCTTCCACCCCCACAAAATGCCTTTTTTCCATCATTTGATTTCAGACTTTGAAGCAGTTTTGAGTTGGATGTAATCTCTCTGCTGAGGTTATTTTCAAATGCATACTTAGCCTGAGCCCTCAAAGAAATCAATCCCCATCATCGCCAGTGTTGGCTTCATGTTACCTGGGATGGGAGGAGACATGGCTGCCACCCAGTACCCCAGCTGGGGGGCAATGTACGTCCACGTTAGCTGGCTGCCTTCCTGGTGCACAAGGCCTAGACCGCTCTTCAGCCACGTTCCTGTGGGATTCAGAAAAGAACTTTAGCTATGAGCATGCTAAACTCCTATTTAAGGCTTATGTACTTGTAAAAGTCACCTTAAATGTCATGTTTAGAGCTCATTTGGTAGTCTGGAGAGTTAAATCATCACCTGGAGATTGCATACAGCTCTCTGTAAAAATTCTTTTCAACTTTCCTTTAGGGAAAAGGTGAACAATTTTAGTCTTTCTTTGCCTTCTCCCAATCAAAGTAGTTTCAGCCACTTTATTAAATATCCCTCTTTCCAAACACAGATAATTTCAGCAGAAGCCTTTGCAGTACAGAAATAGAATAATGGCAGCATGCCAGGGGCTGTTGGAAGTGAAAAGAGGGGGGAGAATCTTGTGTTGTTTATAATCATTATCTTTGAACAAATAAATTTCTTATACCTAATCACAGATTGGCTATGTTACAATTACTTAGAAAGTTTTTTTTTCTTGAGAGAGAGAGAGAGAGAGAGAGAGAGAGAGAGAGAGAGAGAGAGAGAGAGAAATTTTTTTTAATATTTATTTTTTATTTTTCGGCGGACATAACATCTTTGTTTGTATGTGGTGCTGAAGATCGAACCCGGGCTGCATGCATGCCAGGCGAGCGCGTTACCGCTTGAGCCACATCCCCAGTCCAAAAGTTTTTTTTTTTTTTTTTTTAATTTTAAATGTATAATTCCTCAATCTTTGCAAATTCTGTTCCAGTAAGCAAGCCTGGCTTAGGTGAGTATTTAAGAAAAAAAATTCAGTTGGTTGTGATGCTAAGAAACACTGAATAAGTCAAAGTAAGTTCAGGTTTTATCATCAGTCACTACTTTAATTGTCATTAAGGAACCACTATGTACTACCTAGTCACAGTATACATGTCTTACATATATTTTATCTAAAATTCTCAAACAATCAAACAGAGTAGGCCTCAGGGTCCCTTTTCAGATGAGGAAACTGAGGACTAGGAAGTTGTAAAAACCTTCCAAGGCCTTTTGGTGCTGGAAAGCACAGTGGAGGTACCTAGGCCCACCCAACCTCCATCCAGGGCAGGGTTATTGCTTCCCCTCGGTCATGCTGTATTCCTACCAACCTTCCCAGGGTCTGATTATTTGATTACTTTGTAAAGTTTGTCAGAGCAGACCCACTGAGGAAGATTAACTTGCCTGAGGTTGTAGGTGGTTTCCCAGCCCAAAGTGGAAACACTGCAGAGCACACTGCTCTCTGAGGCCCAGGAGGGCTGCTGTGGGCAGAAGACAAGGGAGAGGCAGATGAAGCTCTCCCATGGCTCATGCCCACAACTCTGACCCACCAGTTTGGAGGGTGGGCTGAACACTCCAGGCTCCTGCATAGCTGGATGTGCTGAAAGGATCAAGTGTACCGAATATTCTACCCATCTCCACATCTCTGCCTTTCTTAGGTGCGCGTATGGCTGAGGCAATAGTGGATTATTTCCCCTCTGAAGAAAGAAACAATACTTGGGCAGCTTCTAGACACTATCAGTTGCCATGGTAACATTCAAATGCAGTGGAAAGGTGCCTTGTGATGTGATGCCTCCTGTCTCACAGCCCCCCTCCTCTGCTTAAAGGACAGCGACACACAAAGACGGACGGTGGGAGAAGCCAGGCATTCAGGGGAGCTTTGCATTCTCTGGCTGTCCCATGCAACAGGCTTGCTGGTGGCTCCAGATGATTCCTGTTCAAATTAGAGCAGAATTTAAACTGAAAGGACTCTAAAATGAGTCTGAGGACATAGAAGCCCAATTCAGATTCATTTCCAGAGGTGGGTCTGCCCCCAGGTCATTTGGCAACTGAGAGGAATCACTATGTCCCATGGAGGCTCCCAAGGAAACAGAAGACATTGGACACTGAAGAAGAAAGGTTTCTATGTTGGGTAAGAACATCTCCCCAGAGGTAGAGGATGAATTTTTACGACTGCTTCCACCCCCACGCCCCAGCCCCTGGGTCCCCTCCAGTTCCTACCTGACTTAAATTCCATGCCCACTCCCACACATGTGCTCCCCCAATAGCAAGATTTCTGGATCAGCCAGGAGGCGGCTGTGCATTCTTTGTTTTGCAGTTTCCCCCAAATTGGATTCTTGAGTGACTGCTCTTCAAATGGGGCAGATACTTAGGTTAGGATAAATGGGCCTCAGAGACTAAGAGCTGGAAACAGCCCTAATTCCTGCTCATTCATGAGCAAACCACCTACCTTTATCCCTAGGTTTGCCTTTGCCTTCTACAAGAAAATCAAGTGAAACAGACTTTAAAATATCTCCAAGTTACATCTGGGGCAAGCCAAGTGGGTAGAAGAACACACATAAACACAGACACACACACCATCCAGCGGACAGGTCCCAGGTCCATCTAGGGAGACTGGGGATCTGGCAGTGGTGCCAGTGGAAGCCAGAAAGACCAGTGACTGAAGAAGTCATAGCTGTTTTTGGAGTTCAGCAAGGGAAACAGTGCCCTTTGGGCAGGGGAGAAGGATGAAGTTAGCTTTGATGGTAGGGTTTGTCAGTAGTGGGAGGGGATGAAGCCAGGAGAAAGAAGGAGAGGCTATTCCAGGTAAGGGAACAGCAAGGACCTTGTCATAGAGCAATGGGTATGAATGACGGACAGGAATGGGGCAGAAGGAAACCCAGGTTGCATTCAAGAGAATGGTGGGAAGGAGTTTGCCTTCACCTGGGCAGGACTTCAAATGACATTAGCAGTGGGAAGTTGCTGGGGACCTGTAAACGAAGGCACAGAATGGCCAGTCTTCCCAACACCTCTTCCTGTACTACACACTCCTCATTGGTTCTTGCCAAGTTGGTCCTTACAATTCACAATACAAAAAGTGTGGCTTTGTCTATTATCATGGGTCCAACCTCACATAGTTTTACTCTTTTCCAAAAGTCTACCCATCTTCCAAGATACAAATCAAGCCTTCTAGTATATCAGGTATACCTTAGGTTGCTGGCTATTTTTCTAGGTCTTATCTCCTCTAGAGGACAGTAAGCTTTAAGAGTTTGAGCCTTTGCCTTATATTCCTTTTGTCTTCTCCACTCCTAGAAATATCCACAGTGTAGGAACTCAACAGTACTTCTAATGGAGTGAAAGCTACAGATGCAATCCAAAAATAACATCAGGTAACCTGCGGTCGGCTGGAAAGATATCCCCACAGAGTGTGATTAAAATGGGATGCTACTCTTCCCAACTAAAGGGAGCAGAGTCATCTGGGGAAGAGTTATTTATTTTGGCATACATTTTCTGTAAAATGCACACATAGCCAGTGACTACGGCGTGACACTGTTTTGGGATTCAACAATCATGCTGTTACTGGCAAAGCATTTTCCAAGGTTTCTGTGTTTTGTGGGAGGGAGGAAGTAAGCTACAGGGAATACAAGAATTAATGAATTGTATACTAGAAACATATGCTTCTCATTACTGGAATCTTGATGCTGCTGCGGGTGCAGGCTGGTTTCCCCACCTGGGCAGCAGGCACACAGAAGAAGAGATGATTGTGCTCAAGCCTGGGGACAGAGGCCTGAGATTCCTTCTTCACAGGTGATACTGCTGGCAGAGCAAACAAACTCCCTAATGTCCCTTCTGTTGAATAAGATTATGTGATGGCCGGTGCTGTGACCAGATGCTAACAGTGTTCATGTGGTGGTGGTGGGGTGTCGGGCTCTGCTCAGGCAGAGCAAGGCAGGGACCAAGTTACTCCTACTCTATGGACAAAAGAAAGCTCCTGTTGTTCTTGCCTGTTGTCCTCCAGGCAGTTCATCTGCCAGCCAGGTGGTGCCTACTTCCTCTGGGCTTTTCTGTCCTTCCCTAGGCTACTCCTTCTTAGCCTCTTTCTGTGGCTTCCTACTGCCCCCTCAGCATCCTCCTTCCAAGCAGGCAGTTGCTGGGACATGCAGGCCCAAGGCAGGGTCACCTGGTACAGGCAGGCAGGACCCCAAGTGTCTCATCCCTTCACACCTTATCAGGGTGCCAGGCTTCAACCTGTAGAAGGTGCATAGTCCCAGCACATCAATCTGGCTACTGAGCAGGTGTCTCAGGAGTTAGCTGGGTGACATTGCCTTTTTGCTCTGATTGAGGCCTCTGGTTGGGACTGCGTGTGTGAGAAGGTCATGTGGTGATCTCTCTGGCAACACCAAGAAATGAAATTCTGCATGACTGAAATTTCTAAACTGTCAGTTTTCAAGTAGTTGTAAGGCATTTGAATCCTCTAATGTATTCTTAAGCAGAAACAAATATATAAGCTAGATTAAAAGGTAAGCCTCTCTACACAGAGGTCAGGAGAAGTACCACTCAGTGGCAACCTTCAGCACACCCTCCTAACCATGGTCTGGAAGCTATCGTCTACATTTGCCAAAATTGGAAAAGGCAGTTTTATACAAATTCTAAAATGCATCTTTTCGGGCTGGGGATGTGGCTCAAGGGTAGCGTGCTTGGCTGGCATGCGTGCGGCCCGGGTTTGATTCTCAGCACCACATACCAACAAAGATGTTGTGTCTGCTGATATCTAAAAAATAAATAATAAAAAAAATAAAAAATAAAATGCATCTTTTCTCCTGTCTTACAAAAGTGAACACGTTTTTGATTTGTCTTTAAAATTCAGGGTTCTGATTATTGATCAACTATTACGATAGGTTCTGACATACTGATGCCCTTAGGAATCCAGAGTTGAGGGTTATGGATGTATTTGCTCTGATGATAAACAGTCCTACCTGCACTTACATTTGCTCCCCTTTGCTTTCTTTCTTATAGTTTGCCGTGTTGCTGTTCTCACCTCCCTGCCCCCTGCAGTCTGTTTTTGGGAAACATCATCCGGCCCAACCTATGTCTGAATAACATATACAGGTCATGTGAGGGGTGGGAGAACAAACCAGTTATGGAACAGTGACATACTGAATCCAGGGTCAGAATTATTATTCTCTAAAGTTAAGCCAAGCACCATAGAAAGACATACTTTCAAGAAAAAAGTATGCATTGAAATATTGCCCTCATATTTGGGAAAATAGTTAGTTATGTATTCGGCTGGCAAGGTTCAATGTGTTTAAAGAACCCTGAGTTCTTCATGTAGAAGCTGCATTTAACTACAATGATTATCACACATAATAAGGGACAGGCAGGAGAAGACAGGCCTCATGCTCCCAATGCAGGATGGGATGGGGTCTCCTAGCAATCACTAGGGGGGCCACTTTCCTGCCTGGTTACCAAGCACTAATGAGGTCAACTTCTATTTGCAACATATAAAGAAAAGTGAGTACAAAAATCGAGCAAATGGCTCTCCAAAGGCAAAAGAATGGTAAAATTCAAGGAAAGACTCATCTAAAACATAACATCTAATTTTAATACAACCTAAGGAGGTCAGATTTACCTTGCTTTTCCCACCTGGCATGTTAGTTGGCTTGGAAGCCCCTCTCTAATAGGTACACGACCTCATTCCAACAAACACTTGGTAACAAGCAGAACGACCTGATCTTATGAGCACTGTAGAGTTTAGAAAGGAAACTCTAAGTAAAAAACCTATACTTTCAGAGATTGCATGTTGACATTGACACCTGGAACATTAGCCAATATACAGAAACACATGCTCCTGTTCTCACTTGAGATCTGTGTCATGTCAGACCTCAGTTCCCTGGACAGATAAATGCCCAGCACTAGAAGTACTCAACTGACTACATAGATGACTTCCAAGGCATAAGAAAATACTCCAAGTGAACTCTGACGTGCTAGGGATGGCACAGAGACATGGAGAGTCCTGTATGATATCATGGGGCTGCTGAAGCAAGTCTGGAGCCCCTGCTTCACATTTCTTTTGTCATGTATGCAAGCAATACATAGCCTCATCATTTATACACGGGAGCTGGGCATTCTACTTCTTGCAGCTAACATGTTCTACATGACATATTTTTCCTGAACAAAACTGGAGTTGGTTCTATGAGGTTTCTAAGCTGGGACTCAGTTGGAAGAAATTCCACAGCCACTCCAAAAATCCATCTCAAAAAATTTCTACCAATTGAAAGGTGATTGTTCACACAGTGAAATAACAGCCACTTCTACTCCTAAACCCACATTTTCACTGTGCAATATTTGGAAACATCTGTGATGAGAGATGAGGCCACTTGTGCTGATACAGGCATGAACTCAAGACAGTGGGGACCACATTTCCCCTGTTTTTCAGCTGTTTTCTCTGGTCAATAACCATCTCTTCACTTGGGCGGTGGTAGCCCAAGAATCAGGCATGGGATAAGCATTAGCTCTCTGAGGGAATGATCTTAAGAAGTATACTTCTCAGATTCAAAGTGAGCAGCTCTTCTTCCTCTTCCTCTTATCATCACCATCACTATCATCATCACTATCACCATCACTATTATGTCCTTCCTGACCTTCGAATAAACTGGTTTTCTTTAGGAGCCAGACAGATGTTGCTTTTGGATGCTTTCATCTCTTTTAACCTCTACTATAATTTTCTACCAATTGTACACATAGTAGTTCCAAGATCTAAGTCTACTTTGTTGCATGCTTTAGCACACTGGCGCAGGATCATTCGATAACATCAAAATATAAAAGTCCCACCAGCCTTTAAGTCACATTCGTCAGTACGGTGGGAACAGTGACAATTTCCACATTTACACTATTGTGGAGTAGACTTCTCATTTCCAAATTAAAGTCTGTGGCTTTGAATAGCTAGTTTGCCTTTTCTGGAATTATTTTTTTCCATGAAATCTTTGAGGAGTAAACATTCCTCATTAATTATATAGCAAAACACTTGTCTGATGGGCAATTACCTAATCATTCTTGTTGAAAGCAATCAAACTGAGGAGCGAAACTGACATGTGGAAGGATGAATTCTTATAGCCCCGGGCAAGTACATTTCAGGACTGGTTTGGACAAGAATAAATTTAAGGGCAACTTACTATAACCAACAACCTTCTGTTTGAAGCACAAAATCACAGATATGTTGAATATTAGAAATTAAGACACAAAATGAGCCTATATTTGGCTGTAAGATGTTCCCTTCTGAGAAAGATTTTTTTTTTCCTTTTTGCAGTACTGGGGATTAAACACAAGGTTTTGCATATGCCAAGAGGAAAAGAGATTCTTAAAAAATAAATTTAATTGAAGAAACTTGATATTTTTTCCTTTAAGCTTTTGCTGAGCTATCACAGGACTTACTGAAATACATTTTAGGAAAGGAGCAATAATGGGAAATCATAAAGATTCGGCAGTTATAGAAAGTTTCTGCCTTGAAGAGATGGCCAAAAGTATTAGGCCACACATTAACATCAATAAAATTTAATGGGTATATGTGTATATTTATGAATTTCCAGAAAACAGTATCAGAGTATGAGTTAATTAGCTCCATCTGGAGAAAAATTTCATTCATTACTAAGTTCAATACCATCTTGCAATTACAGGTTGGAAGAGGCTGGGCGGGGGAAGCAAAGGGCTGTGGGTGGCACAGCCAGTAGGCTCTGGCATTAGAAAAACAGACCAGGATGAAGGATGGTACAACAGAGTCAGCAAGCATCTGGAGACATGATAGGATGCTCTCCATCAGGTCTTGCTAAAGACTTATTAAAACGGGAGATGCCCTAAGTGTAGGGGCTGATTGGGTGGATCTGGAGGAAAGCCTGAGGTGCTCTGTGACAAGCTCCTGGGTGATGCTGGTGCCACTCATCTGTGGACCACCAATTCAGCAGCAAAGCTCTAAGTTATGTGCCCTTGAGTAGGGGTAGCAGTCTTCTCAAAAAAGCCTGATGCCATTTCCCACAATGTGGGTTTAGTGCAGCAACTCGGTGGCCAGTGCTTGAAGCAACTTCAGAATTATCTCTGATCAGCTCAGCAAGGAAATCTAGTCACTTGGCTAAGCAGGTCAGGGGTCGGCAGACTCAAATGCCTACAGATGTCGCTGTGTCATTACTTAAGGAAAAGTGCTACGCAGTGACTTGGTTGCTGTGTGTGTGGACCAATCAAGACCTTTTTTTCTAAAAGGTCTGGAGTTTTAATCTCCTTCTGGGGTGCTCTGTACCCAAGATAGTCCCATGTCAGTCTCTTAAGGTGCGGATCTCAGTTCAAATGTCACTTCTCTGCAGACTCTGACCAACTAATCACTTTCTCCATCATCATTTGCTGAACTGGTACCTATGCCATCTAAGTATACTAGTGCACCGTCTCCTTCTAGAATAAAAATTTCAGAATTATAGGGCCCTTCCCTAATTTGTTTTGTCACTGTTTTATCCCAAGAGTGTACAACAGTGGGATTCCTGGCATGAAGAAGCTATTTGTTAGATAAATGAACTGCTCATTTTTTTTTTTAAAGAAAATTCCATGGGAAACCTCCCTCCCTACTTTTAAATGTTGGCAGTAAATTCAAACACAACAAACAAACAAATATCCCCTAACTAATTATAAGACACATCTGGGAATGGGCTGTGGCTCTGCATTCCCACATCCAGTTCATTATTCTTTTAAGCCATATTAAGTCCTGGCTTAGAGACAGGAATGCACAAAAATCTGATATTCTGGAAAAGGAGGGGATCTGCAGTATGAAGGAAACCCTGTCCTGTGTCTCCCCTTCTTCACTTCCAGGGATGCCCGGCATGTGCCTCGAGTACTCACCGTGCCCTTTGGCTTCTTCCTGATGAGGAAAGATGACAGCTCACCAACCCCAGTGCAGTTTTGAAAACAATGATGGAAAATGTTGGTTTAGAGTAATACCCCGTTTTCCTAATGGATAAGCTCAGTTAAGAAAGAGTTGATTAAAAACATTTCTTCTAAAAGGTCTGGAGTTGTGATCCTACTTTTTCCCTTTGATCTTGGCTACTTTCAACTACATATTTCAAATGGCTGGGCTGTCACATACAACCACATTTATGAGGAGCAAGCAAGGGTGCTTCTGTGGAGACTTCGATGCACCACATTCTGTATGTGCTGAGTTGGTCTGGGTGTGTGTCTGCCTACATGTGTGCGTACAAATGACTGTAAAGGAGTGATTCAAGAGAAGAAGCAAAAAAGGGGGCTGGGAATGTGGTTCAAGTGGTAGCGCGCTCACCTGGCACGCGTGAGGCCCGGGTTCGATCCTCAGCACCATGTACAAGCAAAGATGTTGTGTTCACCAAAAACTAAATAATAAATATTAAAATATCCTCTCTCTCTTCTTATAAAAAAAAGAAGCAAAAAGAATTATGATATGATATTAGGAACATAACATGTGGCCAGGAATGTACATCATACTTAAGCTTTACATAATATTGGATGGTAGGCTTTATATATATCTTAGTTTTGAGCTAGAAACATTAGGTCCAGAGAAGTTGGTAATTTACCCCCAGGACAATCCCATCCCTAACATTTGTAGACCTTGAGAATTTTCAGACCTGATTATGTACCAAAATCACTTTAAAAAGAAAATAAAAACTCATACGAAGTCATGACCTTATTAAAAAAAAAATCATGTGTTAAGTGTGTCCTAATCTAAAAGAGCTTAGAGCTCATATAAAAATATAAAATCAAATTTGTAAAAGAAACAGAAACAAGGCTATATAATACGATTGCAAAATGAAATTAAAATTAATAACATCAATTGAATGTAGTACCTGATGATGTATTAGTGACCTAATTGTCTGGATTGCAACATACCCAGGACATAGATTGCCAGGGTGGGGCTTCTTTTGAGTCTGGCAGGTCTAAGATTCAATTCTTCTATCACGTTCCTCAAGCTGAACTTACCATAAAACTTCCTTTCTTCTAACATAGTTTTTCATTTTTTCTTCATATGCTGGGGTTGTATTATTCATCTATCATGTCTACTCCTATTCTGTTCTCATTAGTCCTATTGTATAAAATTGTCCATTTATAAACGTAAAATTCAGGCAACAACAATCATCTGATAACTTTAAGTTCTGTATCGAATCCAAATGATGCAGAATATTTT